TAAAGCAAGACTGGAAAACAATTACCAATACAGTCGTCCGTTAAGGGAAATTACAACACGGACAGTACAAAATTGCTACTACACTAGTTGTTCTAGGAAACAGTCATCAGCATGACTCGAAGATTGCTTTAATCTTTCCAAGGTTGTTTAAACATCATCCGGATTTTCTGTTTCTTTTGAGTACTAGTGGTCATCTTTCATTCAAGCATATAATATACTGTTGAATAATGGTATACTAATGTAACAAACAACAACATCATATATAATATAACATAATATGTTTGTTGTTGGGGCAGGGACTAACTGAGTTTAAATTGAAAGGTAACTCAGATATAAAATGCCAGGCCGCTAAAGGCGGTACTTTAGATGGACATTAGCTATTGCAAATGCAATATTTGTTGTCATAAGCACGTCTGCCCCATCGAAGTTTTGCATTCCTGGCCTTCAGTAGGCGAAAGGTTTGGAAAGCATTTCCATTCGTTGTAGGTCTATTTTATTAAGTCGAATAAGACGCCGATTTCTAGGTCCATCTGATAATTTCTTTAACTGTAGATCGACCCCGTGGCACAATCACAATATTATAATTTAATATGATCTGATTAATAACCTCGACCCCGGATTACAAGTGGCTGGAATGGGTTTTCTGAAACGGATCACTGACTTAACGTGTTTCGGCATGGACCGGAGTATAGAAATCAATGAGAGCCTTGGTGCACATCCTTTCGGATGGACGAGGCACACGCGTTAGATAGTGCTTCCAACGTTCCCTATCCTCTGACGTAGTCTAAATTTCGGCAAAGGACAGCCAAAGTCCAGAGAACACTCTTTCGATATATTTGCACCAAGTTGATTTCAGCTGGTCGGCTGGACAACCAGTAATTGCTTCGCCTTTCTTTTTAGAGGCATTCGCAATTCGTGCCCATACCATCGTAGCTGTCACTTCTTAATCTGAAAAATCAGCTGGTGCAAACTAATTCGCCTTTGGATTTCTGTATTCCAGACAATGTCGAGACGCGTGAGGCCAACGAAGGTCAGAAGGCCCATTTCAGCCGCTTGTATTCTGGAGCGCAGTCTTTCGGCCATAGCTCACGATTCATGACCGTAGATCAGCATGGAGATGAAGACTTCGGAATCAGCTTTCTTTCAGTCATACAGTTCCTGATAGTTCACGCAGAGCCTCACTGGTGATTGCAACCGGACCGTCCGTCGACCTCTTCCTCTCATTTTCCATCATAAATAAACACGACCCCCAGATTTTTGAACTTCTCCACCTGACCCATTGCTTCTCTGAGATCAACGGGCTGAAGAATGAGATGGCACTAGGCTTTTCGTCTTAGAAGCGTTCGCGTGTTTGCTATCTACGTCGTATTCGTTCCACAGCATACCAGTTGCGCGAGTTGAAAGATGGCTGCAGATCAGTTTCCGAAGAAGCTACCGAAACAGGGTCGTCTGCAAACAGTAACCTACTCATCTCGTCTGCAATAACGGCGTCTTGTCTGCGACCTCCGTTCAGAACGGATAACAACACCATTCTGTAGATCTTCGTCAGCCGTTGCTGTGCTGCTACGCCTCGGCTGGCAAAAGGCGATGAGCAGGTTCTGATCGCCGAACTTTCGTACTCTGTCTCAGCCCCCCCCACCTTTAACAATTCGTGTGGTCACTGGTACTCAGGCGATGACCAAGCCAGTGATGGCAGTATCATCAGGGGCAGATGGCAAAGTTTTGCGAACACTTCGCCACGGTCTCAAACCCTATTCTTTTCTCATCCGGGCTTGGGACTCGCAACGACGGACTTTGTTATACACTGTTAAATGCAAAAAATCAAATGGGGAGGGGAGGTCGTCATTGATATTGAATGAATAGATTTTTGTTGGGTATCAAAATCTGCTAACACTCAATTTTTCTGCAGAGTTTGGCGGTCGATGGTTGAATAGAGAAAATTGCTTTTATAAAATTCAGATCACTTTACTTCAGTTCACCTACAGGACAACGTCAGTGGTACAAAAACAGCCTTTCAATAGAAATAAACAAAACTTTAAAAGTAAAAACATTGAGAGATAGGTCGTTTCTGCCGTTGCTATGCAGGTAAATGCATGAACCGTCTTCGACCGCTGTTAATCAACTGAAAAACTTCATCAATTACTTTTCGGCATTCAATGAGCATCGATAATAATGCAAAGTGATAAACATCAATAGAGTCTCTTTTTTAAATATTATGTTTATGCATAGTTCTACCTTCCTCATATTGTTCCCTAGTGAAAATCAACACCTGTTGGTCTCGTGGAATTCCTTCTTTATCTTAAATATTTGGTTTAACATTTTCAGTCGCATCAGATGGCTCATCTCCAACGGTATTGGTTTATTTTGTCAGGGCTTTTACGAATATTTGCATG